TCTATATCTCTCTCTATTCTTCTCTCTTTAGATCTCTAAATGCCTCTCTCTCTCTCTCTTTCTCTCTCTCTCTCTTTTCTTATATATTCTCTCTAATGTTCTTTCTATCTCTCTCTCTCTTTCTTTTCCCTCTCTCTTCTTATTCGACGCCTTTCTTATTCTCTATCTCTCTATAAGTATGATATATAAAGAATTTCTCGTCTAGATATAAGATCTATATTTAATATTCGAATTTTAGAACGCCGCGGAATATCGTAATTTTGTATTTCCTTACTCCTAACCGTCTTCATGAGTAGCACTCAGATAGGGAATATTAATAATTCACGAGTTTTCAATACGTCCGCTGCTAGGAAGCAGCAGGCAGCTCCCCATTTTTTCAATTTGTTCAGAATTATTTACCCGAATTCCGAGCCTGTGAGTAATTTAGTGTTTAGAATTAATTCGTGATGCGTCTATCATCTAATATCTTTTCAGGAGATATACTCAAAAAATCACAGGAAAACGAAATTATCTACTACTATTCTATAGCTATCAAAATCAAAGAAATTCAGCAGCTCTTGCTCTTCAAATTGCTCTTTTTGCGCGCAGCAGCTCGAAGCGGGACGTGAACGAGTCTCACCGCCTCACTGCTGCTTGCAGGCCTGCTTCACACTTTTGGGAGTATACTAGGGTCCCCTATATTCTCGGAAACTCCCAGTTCTATGAACCTGACTTGCTCGCCCACGCCTCCTCTGGCATTCCTGCGGCCATCTCTTTCATCGCTTTTGTCAATTCCTGGCTAAGCTCAGAATAAGATCAAAAGGAGAGTCGAGGGGGGACTCCAGAAAATCTTCTGACAAAGCCACAAGCCCGAACGAACTCACGTGCTGAAATCCGTCCCTCTCCATACATTCCTCATGTGGCCTCGGGGTCATCGGCAATCTTCCTGATCAGTTCCTGAATGGCATGCGGACGTAAGAGAGAGAGACAGAGAGAGAGAGAGAGAAAAAAAATAAACGAACCTGGGAGCAAGAGACTTTCGGGGGAGACTCGTAGGCCCGGTCCTGCTCAGGTCCAGCGAGTTGTGAGTCGAGGCCCATGGTCTTCATGAAGTCCTGACCCGTCAAACGGAACTCTTGTTTCTTGCCGAAACTGGCTTTGGTGAGGGGATAAAAAGGATCAAAGGATGCCCCCAAGCTGCTCGGATGACAGAGGCACCATCTGAGAGGGCATTGGCAGGAACTCATCTGGGAGTTTCCGAAAAGAAAGGGACCCTAGTATAGCACCCTAAATGCTAGGATCCTGATTACAAGGACCTCCTTATAAGGTACCCCTAATTCGGAAACTCCCATCTTGCGAGCCCAGAACTCCGAAACGAGCCTCGAAGGACTCGGCTCCTTCTGTGGCTTCTTGCGGAACGATCTCGCAGGAACATCGCTCAAGATCATCAAGGCTTCGCCATGGCAAAGATAGCCCTGAACCCACCTGGGACATGACTTCTTCAGGTGGCTGCCCGAGATTCTGGAGCTCGTTCAGCATTTGTTGCACCTGCGTCATAAAGAGATCGATGCTTGTCTGCCAGAACTCGGGAATCCTGGGCCTGTTCCCTTGCAGAATCTGGAAGAGGATCTGGATTCTGCCTGGCTTGACCGGATCCTGTCTCTAACCCTTCTTCACTGTGACTGGCAAGAGCTCACACAAATTGCGCGACATTCCAGAAGAATCCTGGCCGGCAGCTCTTGTACACACTGACGATTTGTCTGTACAACTTCAACTGAGCCTGCAGGAAAGAATGACATTCCAAGCATCGCAGATCACAGCATTCGATAGGGCTGTGCCGTGTACCTCATAGCGACTCCTGTCTGCTTTTGACAAACCTGGCAGCAAGGGTATATGGAAACGATAGAGCCACAGCGCGCATTCCCCGCAAACGAACACCACGTGCGCACCCTTCTTCTCTTTCAGATAGGGTTCCAACCTTGATGTAACACGCCGGCTATCCAGAGCAAATTTCACTGCGCGATGACTTCAGCATTGCTTTCGGAGAGATGGATTAAGCTCACGGCTTATCAGCTATTTGCTGCAGTGGTTCTGTCAATAGATCGCTGGACAACATGGACCTTTCCAGGACTGCAACTTTAGCGGACCCTGCGCAGGGAGCAGATTCAGAGGGTGAGCCGCTCACGACATCAACGTGGACATTGACTTCTCAAAGTCCTTGTCTGAGCCTGCCCCATCCCTTCACTCGCCAAGAAATCTCGGTAGTGGGACATGGCTGGCCGACGCCTGCCGCCTGCTCAAAACTCTTCATGAACTTCTGGAGGACATCCTGACGGATTTTGCACTGGGGAAAGAGGGCTTAGGGGGGGCCCAGTCGCTGGGTCCCAAAACCCTATGCTACTTATTGAGGCCTCTGTATTAGAATCTAGAATTGTGTCTGCCTGCCTCACTCGAATCAGTGGAGGGCGATGACGACGCTACTGCTGGTGGAGCTGCTGCCGCTGCCTGTCGGAGGAGCCCGAATGATCTTGCAATACGCATTTACGGCATCTACATCGGCCTCGCTGGGGGCGGGCCTGAACCGACTCCGAAGTAACGGCGGAAAGCAATCAAAATCAAACGGACCCACTGCGTCTCGGCATTGAACGTTGAGCTCTGCTGCAAAGCATCAGCCATCACCTTCTGAAAGTTTTCATCCTGTATGGCACGTGCTTTACGGCTGCCCATCTTGGACAAAGTGGAAGGTCCTGAAAGCTCTTGACGAGATCCTTGAAAAAATCCTGTGGGGCAGCAAGGCAAAGCGACGCATGCTACGGGCTTTCGCCACGGCGCCCGAAGCCTCACCAGGAGGTTGGGAAGATTGGTCTTGTGGCAGCTCTTTGGTAAGCTGCTTAACGACCTCGACTTCTCGTTCACAATGAAACGAGCGCGATGGCATGCGGGGGCGGCCAGCCTCGCCAGCACTGCGTCCGGCTTCTGCGGGAGCGGCCTTGAAAGGGTTCAGCAGGCATCGAGATGACAAAGGGAAAACGAACTTCCTTGCCTGGCCTTGCGATCGTCCAAAGCAGTCTGTACACCAGTTAACGAGTCAGCGATGAGATTGTCCAAGTCATCTGCCTGCGCAGAGAATCCAAAGCATCTGCAGGCGACGGCACGCGGCACGTGCCCCTCCTCCATGGTCAAGATGCAAGGTCCTCGTGAGCCATGAAGACAGGATTCAACAGTCTTACGAAGGCAGATCTTTTTCCATCCCTCTCCTGCAATTTGAAACTCGCAGAAGGAACTGCCACCAAGCACTCCGGAAGCTACAAAACGTTTTGAGGCTTGGCTGCGACGTGCGGCGCAACATGACATTGGAGTCTACTTCTCACACTCACTGCTCACATCACGTCGAAAAAATCAGCCGAAACGGAAAACGAGAATGCTGGTCAGCGCTGTTCCAGCCCGCACCTTCGGATCCCGCGATTTGCTACGTCGAGTGAACCACAGATTGACTTCCACAGTTCCGTCTACTGCATCTGACGACTGGGACAACCTAATGGGACAAGAAGTCAAGAAGGCTCACCGGCTGACATTGCATGTTGAGGGTTCTCAAGAAAGCGGGGCACGATGCTCTTTTGCTCCAAGCGCGTGACTGTTCCTCCGTTGTGAGACTTCTTTGGTCACCGCAAGGGCTCGTTCTGCCGACCATGTCACTACGATGCACGAAGGACATACTGAATCCCATCAGCACAGTAGATGTTCCCCCTGCAACCGACATGGAACTCCTGTGATCTACAGTTTACAGCATTCCGGCGGGCGGACGCTTCCGAAGCCGCTTCGGCTACCGTCGTGAAGAGGTCTTTGCCTCGGCTCAGCTCGTCGAGTCCTCGGTTCGTTCAGTTCATCTGGCCGTTCCGCGCGCCGCCGTACACATCCCGGCCCATGTTGGACTGCGTCTGTGTCATCATGACCTGCACGGGCTCACAGGCCAGGCGACAAGGCTCGAAGCTGGGCCGCTGGGCCTTCGAAACTGGCCGCGCAAAGGCTGACTCCAGCTCGATGGGTGCACGCGGATCATGTGAGTAGGTGCAAGCCTCCAGGAAGGCT